CCATTGGACCTACCATTATTATAATTATTCAGAAATCACATCAGTGCATTGTCTGTCTCTTATACACATCTTATATATATATTAAATTAACATTTTTTTTATATTATTAAAGATTTCTTTAATACTTTACTGCCGTATTCAAGAACTTGGTATCTGGTTCATCCTTTTTATACTGATAGTATTTAAAATTTTAATTTCTCGACCTTATCTCTCATCCTTAATTCAAATACGTCAATTTACGATACTAATAATTCCTTTAAAACGTACATTTTTTTCACATCATCGTAACATTTTATTGTATGCTTTTTTTTAAGCTTTCGAGAGTTATTTATGCCTGGACTGTCATTATTGTAATTTCCATTGTCATTATCATTAACGTGATTATTATCATTATATTAATTATAATGCAGTGATGTTATTGTCCTTCCTTTAACACACATAATTATCCAGTCCTTAACGTCAGGGACAGTTCCTGAATATCTAAAATCTGCTCAAATTCACCCTCTCCTAAAAAAGAAGAGTCTCGACTTGGATGTCCTTAAGTAATTATCGTCCAATAGGCCTATCTCAATAAATCCGCATATCGCGTCCACCATGGTGTCGAGACTGCATTTTTAAAGGTAGAAAATGACATATTAACAGCCATGGATGAAGGTAAACTGTCGCCCTTGTTCTCTTGGACTTGTCTGCGGCCTTTGATACGGTGGACCACTGCATTTTAATAAATACACTTTTTTTTTTATAAGAACACATTTTATAAGAACACTGAGGCTGAAATTGCTTAAAAATTAAGAACAAAATAAAAACAAATTGAGGCTGAGGTAAAATTTCAAACGACGTTTATATTTTTAAAAATCAAAATATTATATCTGTACATTATGTGCAGAAGGTGTGACTGTAATATCCTCTATAATACAGTAGAGTAGGTGTACCTATCTGACATTTGGGGGAAATTTTTTAAGGGGTCACTTTCTTTCACGTACATTTCAGTACAGTGCATACTGCCGTACAATTAAATAATTTTTTTGTTTAAAAGGTGTGTAAACTAAGAACAAAATAAGAACATTTTGGGCCTGAAATCGGCCAAAAAATAAGAACACTGAGCCTGGGCAAAATTTTACTGGTTCTTATAAAAAAAAAGTGTATTTTCCAAGAAGGTGGGTTTGATGGAACCATACTAAAAGTGATTTATATCTTACATTTCAGGTAGAACACAGTGCGTAAAATCAATGAAACATCTTCTGCACCTTGTCGACTCTTATTTGGAGTGCCACAAGGAAGCGTGCTTGGTTGGTCCTCTCTTTCCATTTACTGTCGCCCCTTGGGTGATAGGCCTATAGTTCGAAGACACAATCTGCAGTTTCGCCTATGCCGACGACACTCAATTTTACATTTCTTTTAAGCCCAATCAATGGAGACTGCTCCAGCCTACATCTCAAATCTACTTACGATCAAACAACAAAAATTTGCTCTATGAACCACTCATACACAACAACTGGGGGAAACGTACTTTTACATCCGCTGCACCACACTTACGGAATTTGTTACCAGATAACATTAAACAAAGTACTCCCCTCAGCATATATAAGAATAAGCTTAAGACGTTTTTGTTCACTTCATCCTTACGATAAATACACACTAAATAATCTGTTTAAATTTTTTCAATATTGTACTTTTAGGCATAGATTAAGTTTAGGCCACTCCTGTAAGGGTAGCGGTGTGGGACCCCCCCCCCCCACCTTTAAGGGGCAGCCCATAAACGGAAACGTGAGACGTTCCTTCCCTCCGTGGGTCTTAGGAGTTGCTAATTAGGAATTTCTGCCTTGGGCATGCAAAGGCACTCTTGAAGCCTCCCCCACCAGGGATACGGTTATTAATTTTATTTATTTTTTTATTCGTGAAGATTACAAACTGATAATAACTCTCTCGACTTCTGTATTGCACCATGAGCATCTTTGATGGATACTGACGCATTATAAATGTTCAATATTATTATTATTATTATTATTATTATTATTATTATTATTATTATTATTATTATTATTATTATTATTATTATTATTATTATTATTATTATTATTATCATTATCATTATTATTATTATTATTATTATTTATCGTTGTTACCATTGGACCTACCATTATTATAATTATTCAGAAATCACATCAGTGCATTGTAGTTTCTATTACATGATGACAGTACCATGCTTGGGATATCCCTATGAATTTCCCGAGAAATGGTTAATCAGCAGTGCACTGTAATACAGAGTGCGAGTTCTCAGTCGGGGGTAAATGCAGAGTAGACCAGTTTGCTCTCAGGGGAAAATTGTTCCAAGCCCACAGTTAAAAGGCGTACTGGATTGTCATCTACCCAAACGTTCTACTAGAACCTAGACATTACTTTTCAATGAAAGGCACCCAAAAATAAGCTAATTATAATTATTATTATGTATTCAAGATATAATTTGGATATTTTCGGGGGTGGGGGTCACATTGTACAGGTACATTATTATAGCTTTTTTTCATTGAATTCATGCAGACCCTAGAGTTGACGACCGGTTGTACATAGGTGTCGAGGCCCTGTTAAAAGCTGATATCTTACCCCCGATGGTCCGTGTCATCGAAAACTATTACTCAGCTGATCCAACAGAATGTGTTGATGAAGAAGATGTGTTGGAGTTGTATCGTGTTGACGTCGCGCCAGACGATATGCGACACAGAGGACGTATGGTAAGAGCATTATTTAAATGCCCGTTTTGTTAGGGTTTGCTGTTTTTTTTCTTGCACCATACTAGTATATTCACTGTACTTAGGCCTACTATATATGACCTGATCAACAGTAGGCATTTTTAGTAAAACATTTTTTGACCTGATACATATATTGTATTTGTTGTGTTTTATCTACTGATCAGGGAGTTCACAACTCCCTGTACTGATGTATCCCTGCTATATAAACTGCTGCATTATGTCCGATTGTTAGATCTGCGCCAATATAACTCTCTGTGGTCTAGTGGTATGATGCCAACCTAAATAGCGAGAGGATGTATGTTCGAGTCCAGACAGAGATACTTTTTTCCATACTCGAGTCATGGAGGAATACGTTTAGACTCGAATGAGATAGGTGTTATAAACTCCCAGAAACAGCAAGTCTAAAACTGCATTTATAATTATTTTTATGCCTATAATCGAAATAATGTGACAGAAGAGGAACTTAAACCCGGATCTTTTACCCACACGGAAACATCATACCACAGACGCATTCAAGTGCTAGTAGTGACGGAATATTATTAGAAGGGAATTTCCATGTAGATGAAGTTGACAGTTTAAAAGGAAAAACGGTTTACTTCTTAGTCGTAAGTGTATATATACATACACACACATATATATATATATATAAATGAAAATGCAAAATACTGAACAAATGTGTCGGTGGTAGGCCTAAAGCTGTTTTGTAAAACACGTTTTGTTTCTTGTAGTGCGTTTACGGAAAAAACCAACAAAACTACGACCTTTACTTACATCAAGGAATGTCGACAGCACACTTCACAACAAAAATCAGTGCCCACCTTCACCCGATGACAGAATTGGTAGAGCTTTCGTTCCCTCAAGTAAGTCATCATTCATGCCATAAGATTACGTCATGAGCATGAACATTTACGTCACGAGCCCGAACATTTAAATGGCGTAATACCAGAATAGTGGAGAACCAGGTTATCAAAATACCGTAAAACCTCGAATAGAAACCTGGGCTCATTCTTTTTTTAGGACCCTTGGATGGGCTTCTTTTCAAGATGGGCCTCTTTCGAGATGGGCTTCTTTTCGAGATTTACATTCGCAAACTAAAGAGGAAGACGTTCTTTCAAAATGAATGCTGTCAATTTTGGATTTGCTACATTTGCTACATTAAAAAATATTGAACAGAATTTGGAATTTTATTGAAATATTGAATTTTAGTTGAAAAAATGACATTTTTTCAACTAAAATTAAATGAAATTTCAAATTCTGTTCAATATTTTTTATAAAGTACATTGAAATAATATTGATACTGACACGCTATCATAATAATATAAGATAACGTCAGTATGAATGTAACAACTATCTCGAAAAAAGCCCAGTTATTTTGATTAAAAGCCCATGAGTTTCTTTTCGAGATGGGTTTCTTTTTTTTACAAACTTAAGAGGGGCTTCATTGTTATATATATCCACCAGTCCATTCACACACGAAACCATACACCAACTGGTTCAATCTATCTACCCGTCATTAATCTAATCATTAATCCTTTCTATCCATCTATCTATCCATCTATATACAGAACGGTATTCATCTGTTCGTCCGCCTGTATAATATTCATCCATGCATGCATCCACCAATCCGTCCACCATCTATTATTATCCATCAACTCATCCTCCATCAATCAGTGAATCAATCCATCCATCCACTTAAACATCGATTTCTCTCCATATATATTTCTATCCTTATTTGCATTTTATCAAACCATCACTCTCAGATTTGCTATAGATACTAAAAATACGAACACTATTTTATTCATTTGTGATGGACTATTATAGTATTAGCCTAAAATGCCAGTGTCTTTGTTTCTCAAACTAGGTAAGAAATCCGTGAAAGAAGCTGCAGAAATCAACGAAACGGAAATCAAACGGCAAATAACAGACCTAAAGAATGAAGTGGACATGTGGAAAAATCTGTACAACGCTGTGAAAACGATTACTCCAGAACGACCGGATCGTCCTGACAAACCTCCACCAGAACGGCCGCCGAAACCAGGGCAAAAGCCAACAACACCCACACCAGACAAAGAACCAGTTTCTTCTCCTAAACTGCCTAACAAAACAGATTATGTGAAGAGTATTGGAAAATTAACATCAAAAAAATTACTTAATAAAGTAACTTCATTTAGCCACAAAACAAGCAAAGAGCCGAAAATGCTTAAAACACCGGAAATACCGGCAAAACCGGCCAAATCACCTACATCACCCAAGCCACCAGACCCAGATACAAGCTACGAACAACCTATGGAAACTACCAAAAACCATTATGAACTACAGGATGATGATGATGATGATGATGATGATGATGATGAGTACGTTCAACATTTATCATTGCATATTTACACCTTAGACCATGTTATGGTATAATGTCCACTCACTGGCCACTGTTATATAATGATTAAAACAGTTAGACAACACACCTTTTGATTTGTTAGACAGAAAAGGCGTGATCGGGCGTCGTTCAAAATGTTTTGAGCCTCCGAAAAATATGACAATTTATGAGTTTAAAAGAAAATACATATATTTTTTGTTTTCTCTCCGACGAATTGAGGTTTTTTTCTTAAAGATTGGGGAGGAGACCTTCCCCGACAAGGGACTTCCCCCGGGCCTCGAACTGGCGCCACCCCTGCGTACACGGCATCAATACTTTTAAAAATTGTTAATATTTATTGAGACACTTCTGACAATCGCCAGTTGTGTGATGCATCAAGCTTGTTTTCGATACAATCAATACACACTATCGCGACAACTTTCGGCAAGCTTGGTTTAGCTTGGTTTCCATATAATCGCACACTGTCGCTACAGTTTTTTGTTTTTTTTTACTGCAATCGTTGCAATGCGTAGCTGTCCCTGACTTAATGGAAACGCTCCGTGACTGAACTGACCGATCAGCGTCATCAAAGGATCCGGCGATGATAGCATGTAGCGATTTTTATGAAACCAGGCTTTCCATGCAATCGGCACGCTATCGCTGACAGCTTTCCGTGAACATCGGTTTAGCTCGGTTTCCATAAAATCGCTCACCCTATCGGCGACAGTCGCCGACGGTTGTTGAACCAGGTTCAAACCTTCCCGAAAACTGTCGGTTACTGTCGCCGATAGGGTGAGCGATTCTATGGAAACCGAACTTTTTGCTGATTGGTCGGTAGATTCGGGGAGCCTTTCCGATTGCGTCGGGGACGCGGTGCAACAATTGCAAATGAAAACACTATAGCGACAGTGTAGCGTCTTGCGTACGAACGTGACGTCTGATTACGCAGGATTGGAAGACACTCCCTCCAGGATGACCCGGACTTACAGGACCACCCTCACCCACACTGGGTGTACCCACCACATTTTGATTTTTTGTGAGGGGGTGGGGTCCGTGTGTACCTTTCTTCACGGAATCAATAGTACAAATGCTCTTCTGTTTGAAGTGTGCGCACTATTGTTACCATCTCCAGTCAGATATCAGTGGGTTTTTGTCTAGCGTAGCTACAAATTTTCAATTGGAACGGACTCTTTCCCCTTTTTGTAATCTTTGTCTAAATGTAGGCCATTTAAAGCAAAAATCTACCGTCAAATAAATCCACACCTCACTCACTCAAATACTTCATCTCCTCAGATATGATTACATTCCTGGTTCAGAAGGTGACAGTGGTTCTAATAAACAGCAATCCTGGAAAAAGAAGTATGAATCCCAGCAGCAAGTAAGTCGAAGTCGAGTACAAGAATAAGCACTCTTGTAGTTTCAATTTCGCAAAACCAAAGTTCAATGCAAGACAATTGGCTTATTCCGACCAATTTTTATAAACAGTTTTGCACATTATAGACAAACCATAACCAAACTCATATAAAATACAGACGAAAATATACATTATGGTGTGATTAGCTTTTTATGCACATTAACACTGACAAAAAAAATGAGCATGGGCTTATCATAACACATTTATATTCATTTTTTAAATCAATTTGTAAATTTACTTTCCAACTTTTAGATTTGTAAGTTAAATTTGTATGTGTCGTGCTTTTTTTCTCCTACTGATTTTTGAAATTTTGTCGTTTGTTTACGAAATTGCCAATAAAGAACACTTGAATTTGAATGTAACCTGAGATGATTTTTGTTTGTGAATTATATTAAATGAGTAAGCCAATCCGATCTCCTGCCTGAGTTGCGCAAAGTATAGTGCTAATTATTTATAAATATATTGTTTTTTCCTATTAGATGATCGAAACATTTAGAAAACAGGAAGCAAGTTTAAAAAAGGAGTTACGGGTAAGTAATTATTATTATCATCATTATCATCATCATCATTATTGTTACTGTTTTTGTTATTATTATTATTATTATTATTATTATTATTATTGTTATTATTAATATATACTTAAAGCCTTATTATTATTATTATTATTCATTTTGTTAAGAGCGTTTTTTGAAGGTGTATGGTTCCTGAGGACCTAATACAGGCCCAGAGCACGAATTTTGCAAGCCACATAATACAAATAATAAACTGGTCTATATTAAAAGCTAAACTTTAATTGGCATATCAAAGGAAATATATATATAACACAATATCGAACAATATTCTCAATAATTATGTTTCAGGAAGCGAAGAATAAAAATGACGAATATGTTCACAAGATACATACTCTTCAACGAGAAATCGAGTCAATAATGAACAATGGAGAGGATATATACGACACAATTAACGAGCGACCATTACCTCCAACTCCAAATATCATGCAGCATATCTACAACAGCCCCTCGGAAGGTGCCTCCCGGGGCATGAAGATTTCAACAAAAGAGCTCCAGAGTTACACAGTGGCCGGAGTCGAGAGGTTCATGAAAGAGATTGGCCTTGAGAAATACGCATTAGCATTCCGAAAGGAGGAAATAGACGGGCCTCTACTGCTTGCGTTGGACGAATCAATGCTTACAGAACTTGGAATGTCAACTTTAGATGCAAGAAAACTTTTTGTTAGGATAGGGAAAGTGACGACGGGTCAGTAAAACTATTTAACAAAGTTGGAAGTTGAAAATTGTTACTGTGACATTCTCTATTGCTCGACCTAACAATTGTGGGCTACTCGTCAGCATTGGTTAAAAACGAAACCACCATTCAGTTAAACGTTTTGGTAGTTTGAACACGCACTAATAATGATGTTCAGAAATCGATAGTTATAATTCCATAGGCCTAATGTATTAGTAAATATCAATTTTCTAATATTTCTCGAAAAAAAGCAAACAAACAAATCGGCCTATATATATATATATATATATACGTTTGGCACAGGCCCATAGTAATTGTTACCAGTACTAATTTTGAAAGTCGTAGAGTAGACCTACAGTTTGGAAATCTAAGTTTTTCATCTAAACTACAGGGATACTTTTAGTACCGTACTACTGTAACCTCATACATCCAGATAAAAGTCCTACAAGTATATTACTTATAAAATATTAAAAATGCAGTAGAACTTCTATTAAGGAGACACCTTCGGGACTGAAACAAGTGTCCCCTTATTAGTAGTGTCCCCTGAATATTGGTACCCCTATTCAGGACCAAAAGTACGAAATTTTCCCCTTAATAGGGGTTTTTGACATTTTCTCTTGCAACGATGACATACACTCTTTATAATTTTATTTTTATTGGCATAAGAATCAGTTACAGTAGAATTAAAACTAATTTATAGCAATAATTTGCAATGCAAATACAATTAATTTATAATATGAAATCAGCAGAAATATAATTAATTAAGACAACAATAGTTTTCTATTTTCCCAATATTATTTCATCATCCAAGACCAAGTATTATTATTTTTGAAGAATGAAAAGTATAGCCGCGTTACTCTGATACAGTATAGAACAATATAAAGTAAATAACAGCAGCACTTTTGAGACTAACAATATAGAATTTATTCTCTAGCTTTCGTCCACACAGTGGACTTCATCAGGAGATTTGTACAGTCTCCTGATGAAGTCCATTGTGTGGACAAAAGCTAGAGAATAAATTCTATATTGTTAGTCTCAAAAGTGCTGCTGTTATTTACTTTATATTGTTCTATTATTTTTAAAATATTGAATTTTCTATTGGATGGAGTGTGAATGGAGTAACGACCTAAGGGTGCATATTATGGTATGGATTAGAATGAAAAGTATATTATATGAAAAAACAATATTTCTATACAAATGTTCGGATTCAGGGGGGAAAAATTCTGGTTTATTGATCAAAAGGTCTCAAAATATGTTGAATGAATTTTTGAGACTGCTGTAGTTGTGATACAACGAAGAAAAAATAGGTGTCCCCTTAATAGGCATAGGGGTTATTTGACCATTTGGCATACTCAGAAAGTTCCGCCGTTCCCTTAGTAGGGGTGCCTCTTAATAGGAGTTGACTGTAGGCCTAGTTTTAAGAGATATATTTCCCCTCGTTTCACGGAAAAGTGTCGCTCTAATAGGGGCTTCTTCTGAATAGGGGTGTCTCAATATTAGCCATTCTCAAGAGAGAACTTTTGGTGTCGACACTGTATGACAGACTTGACAGAGTACAAATCTTGACAGTCGAAGAAAGTCGATGGAACATGAACAGAAAACAGGGAAGAATAAAACGATATACTGTAGGCCTACTGTATATGGTTTATAAACAGTATGGGCCTGTATATTATAGGCCTATAGATAGGCCTTAAACAAAACCATGGAGTGATGGCAGTTTGTTGGTATATTTATTAGATTTAAATGAACAAACGTTTTCGGTTATCAACCTTTGTCAAGCAAATATGTATATCAAGAGCGTATCTAAGGTGTCTCTTATACACATCTAGATGTGTATAAGAGACCAAGAACTATGTTCGAATTCTGTACAGCTGACGTCCTATGTTCTATATAAATATGCTGACTTAGGAACATTAACATTTATATTTCGACTACTCAACCTGTAGTCTTTGTCAACGCTTGACACAAAATCAAAGACTGGAATTATAGTTAAAGTATTTGTTGCAATAAACTTCAGTGTTTCTGAAGTCAACATTTTTACAACATGTATATATAATATAATGTATCTCCTGTCGAGATCGAGTTAAAATCCGTATTAATTACAAACTAAATAGAATTACACAAATTCTTCGGTCATTTTTAAGGCGGATATAGGCCCTAGGCCAATGCAATAATTTGTTAATATTAACATCTTATTGTATACTACTGTAGTATACTTAAAGTTAATAGCATAAACATTAATCAATCACCAACGTTTTAACAGGAAGGAATTACTTTAGACTTAACATATAGTTTGTTTTATATTCACTGCGTAACCACAACAAAAATTGGCGACCGGGTTTTAACTACGTACCGTATGTTATCATTTTCCTGTTGCAATGTACAATTTCCAATGCATTATTAATCGCATTTCATGTTTCAGAAATAAACCGAGTTTGTGTGAAACATGTTTGCTGCCCTATATAATATCTGTCTGTTTAATTTTTTTTTTCAATTTAATGTATCTCACTTTTACAACAGTGGCACACATAAAATAGCTTTATCGTGCATCCGAAATATCTTAATACAAAACATAAAATTAACATTATTTTCTAAATACAAAAGAATGTTATACAGAGGCCTACTAAATTTAAAACAAATCTTTAAACAATTAAAAAATACAGAAAGAGAAGCTTGAAATCAAATTGTGAGCTAAACAGATTCTTAATCTATATATCGAATTCGTAATAAATAAACCTGTCTGTTGCAATATACAATTTCCAATGCATTAACTGACCATATTTCATGTTTCAGAAATAAACCTGAGTTTGTGTAAAACTGCCCTCTATACCATAATATTGATTTCTATCGAATGATTTCTATGAACTTCTTGATCCATTAAAAGACATGGTCTTTAATGGTGTGGTGTCAGAAAAATAAGTGGTCCGACAGAGGATTTGACATAATAAGTGGTCCGACAGAAGATTTGACATAATAAGTGGTCCGACAGAGGATTTTACATGTTGAAGCTCCGATAGGGGTCCAGCGGCTAATCTCTTGCTGCCTGAATGAAGAATTTGGCCGAGACACTCTAGAACATATTATTTACCAAAGAAAATTAATAAATTAATAATTCAGAAAAAATATATTTTTGCTTTGATCGGGTGAATGTGAACAAGAGGGGGAGCTCTGATAGGGGTCCAGCGACTAATCCTGAATGAAGAATTTGGCCAAGACACTCTAGAACATGTTATTTACCAAAGAAAATTAATAAATTGATAATTCAGAAAAAAATATATTTTTGCTTTGATCGGGTGAATGTGAACGAGAGGGGGAGCTTGAGCAGTTTGACGGAAAGGGGAGGGATTTGGCCAGTTTTTTAGGCAATGTGCTGCTCAGGGGTTAATCTGACGTGTTCTTATGAATTATGCAGACTAGATAGAACCAGTGACAGATTGGCTTATCTTCCCTGTTTTTTGGGGGGGGGGGAGGAAGGGGAAACGATAACGGGCATCACTCAAAATCTCTTAGAAGTGTTTCAGGTGGCCTAAACCCTGGAAACAATGACAATGTAGCTTTTTTAAAGACGTATGTGTTGGATTGTACTGTTGCGTGTGCTGTGTCAGAAAAAGTGAATACCACTTTCAAGTAATTTGAATGCTAATACTTTACACCATGAAGACCGCAACCTTCGGATCGGATGTACAGCAGGGGTCATGCGAGCATAGGACTCCTGCACAATGGATATCACTCATCAACTAATTCACACGAGCCATTTCTCAGTCAATACAAAAATTAAAAAAACAAGAAGAAATTGCTACTTTTGTTTCATTTACAAAGTGATTAGCATTTATTTCCAAGAATAACTGGAAAGACTACATACACAATGAAGTCAATTTGGATAATAATTTTTCTCTGACACAATTTGATTGATAGTAGTATTACAGACAAATGGGTGAAAGATATTGCAGGTATGACATTTACACAATGAGCCTGCTAGTACACCATTAACATCATTTTTAAAACTTAATAAACTATTTTAAATAATTTGTTTTTTTCAATACATTGACAAAAATCACAACTTAGGATTTAGACACTCAAGAACACATTAAAATTGAAGATGAACAAAATAAATAAATAAATGTAAATTAACGAATCAAAACACAGGATACATGAAGCAAACAATTGGCCTGAATAAGATGCATTGTCTCCAATTTTACTACAGGATTTTATGCCCTAGTTTACCCCCGGTTTTGACTGCCAAAATAATTGGGTGGGGGAACATTAGTATTTCTGGAATGACTTGTCATTTTCAGGTCAGGACGCATTACTACAGGGCACCCTTCAATTTGAGACCCCTCTCCGAGACCCCTCTAATTTGTAACCACTTTTTAAAAGAACCAAATAACAATCTTCTAACACAATGCTAATCCTCTAATTGGAGACCAACAAGAGACCACACCAAATGTTCACATCCCAAAGGTCGTCTCGAATTGGAGGGCGAACTGTAGTACATTGTTCTTCTCTTAAAAATCTAGAAGTTGCTAATAAAGTGAAACTAGCTTTACACTGGTATGAACTCCTTTGAATCACTCGTGCAAACTTCCAACTTTAATAACAAAGTTAAATTTTATAAATTTATTCATTCATTCTTACTGATTTCTAATTTTTCATTAACAAATAAATACTAAAATTAAAGAAAGACAAATTAATTTTTAAAAAAATCTTTGCTAAATTTAAGAAACGACTGAAAGTTGCCTTGCGGTTTACTGTAATTCATCAAGTTATAAATACAAATGTCTTGTTACAAGAAATATGAGTTGAAAGAATTGCTTCTAAATACATAATGATTTTCAACAAAATATCAACATTTATGAATATTTCATGGTTGTTTATTCTTAGATTAAAATCAAATTCAACTTTGTATACTTTTATTGATTATTTTTTTAGAACCATAGTGCAGGATTATCCATCCAGGTACACTTTTTAATTGTTTTTTTTTTCTCCAACTGTCGAACTGTCTCTTTACGACAGGAATATATCCTTCAGTAAAAAGCACCTTTACAATAAAAAAAAAGACTATTACTTACAATTTGTACATTGAACTTATTATATACATAATTTACATTTAAGGCCCCATGTTACTCAGGCTGTTGTTCTAAGTACAGTGTAACTGAAACAATATGATCAGAAAACAAAAACATTTCAAAGCAAATTTTCAAAGTAACGAAATATATGAGTTGTGTGGGTATAAAAATACTAAAATGTAGTTAACAGATAAATTCACTATTTAAAAATTTGGTTAATCTTATTTTCCCCAGATTACAGTGAAAAATACCCGTAAAAACAGAGAAATGAAGGTTTCTTAAGTTGATTGTCTCTCTTTAATTATAACATGATAGTAATAATAAATTATTAGCTATGCATATTCAAGATCAAATTTACATTAACACAGCATAATAATGCAGTTAATGATTTAAATATTTATGATTCTGTATGAATATTCATGATCTAAGTATTGTACCATTAACCTAGCACATAAAGATGCAGTTTGATTGAAATATTTATGAATATTCATGATCAACACATAGCATCAAAAAATGATGATAAAGACCATGCCAGAAGGCATATCAAGCACACTGTTGTAAAATACAGATGTGTAGTCATTCTATGGCTATCAGCAACAAGTCCATTTCAGCGTTACAAGCTTCGCAGCACATCCCCTCTGCCGCGACCGACAACCACATTAATTAAATCAATCTCAAGGTGTTTTCGGACACTGCGTGCCAACTGAATTGTCCAGATGTTTCTTGGACTGCCGCGTGTCTCTAAATTACAATGTCAAGTCTTTGCGTATACAGCCCACACGTAAATTGTCCAGATGTTTGCTGGGACAGTTGTGTGCTGCTATATTTTCATCCACAAGTTCCTGCATATATAACATCATCGCATAAAACTATCTCCTTTTATTCAGTCTGATGATGAGGTGGGCAACATCGTGTTTCCGTTTTCCTGCTTTACTGAATTGATTGCACTTCGTAGTTGTAGTAACCATTGTTTTTTATCATGTTCATCGTTCGCTTGCAAACTGCATGACTGTCCGCTACTGCCATCCACAGGGTTAATTCGTAATGTGTGTTTATCTGTTAGAAGAAAATGAAAATATAAATTTAGTTTTATATAAACAAATAGAAATATATGCATTGTGAGACTGATAGAGCAAAGCCTAGTGGGACAAAATAATGACCACATACTGTACTAATGAGATAATTAATATCATGATTAAAATAATTAATTAAGCTTCATAACCATGAACTCATAAGCTCATTAATTAAAAATTAATTATTATTTTATCTCATTCTAAACATCAGAATTCATGATCTTATAACTCACATTTGGATGAAATCAGCCAGAGAGAATATTTCAATATTTAAAGTCTTAAATCACTTAATATTATATATATATATTTTGGACATATTGTTGCATTCATCATATTTATAAATTAATAATAGAGAAGAACTTACATGTTTGGTTGTTTGTGAAAGCACCTCTGAATGACCCACCAGACTTGACTGTTCCATCAGATAGATCTTCGACCATCAGGTTTCCGATGGGAATTGGTTGACGGTGAACTTGGTAGGCTTTGTTGCCATTGCGCGTGACCAGCCTCGTCATCACCAGTATCTCCTCAAACAGGAATACATGAAGTTTCTGCAAGGTTAACGATAAACATTCACGTCAGTATGAAATGAAGGATTATAAATATATAAATTCATGAGGACAAGACACCTGCTGTGGGGATGTCATGTGACTGAGATAATTTGCATAGTCATTGACTGAATCATGTACCCTTGAAATTGTACCGTTGTTCTTCAATAAGTTTTATGCTGGGTATACAACAGGCTTATGTTTGTTCAGACATATAAGAAAATATGTATAGTTTGACCAGATATGGTTGAGTATGTCAGATAAAAAATGCTGAAACATATAACTTACTGTTCCTTTGCTGTTTTTCAGTAAACCACCACAGAGCAGGACTTTTTGTTCATTTATCAGCGGATGCCTTTGTTTGTCGTCTAAGTATTCAAATGAGTTGATGTAATGACGGCATTTTGTTTCTCCTGTTCGCCTATCAACCATTTTTATCATATTCTCTGCAACTTTTATCTATAAAGAGTAAGAAAAGTCATAACTTATTTGAACAAGAAAAAAAAAATAAAATAAAATAAATTCAGGTTTTTAATGGCTGGTTTGTTGTGGTTAAATGTTTATGTTGGGAGAAGATGACGTAAACTGGTTGTCTGGAGGAAGCCAACACAGAACCAGACCAATCATTTAGACCAGGTAGCAAACTCGGAAGTTATAAAGACTAAACCACAAGATATCTCATCAGACAGAACAAGTTATTTATTGATAATTTGAGGTGGTACAACCCACAAGATTATGGGCAAGGCTGAAGCCAGATTCATAAATCTCTCAATTTGAATGGTAATGACATTTACAGGAAGTTTCGATATGAATTTTCAAATTAATCACTATCAATACGACCACAAATGTGATAAGAGTGACATAAATTTTTAAAACTATTAGACTTACTGCTTCTACTAAAGATTGTCTATCTTCGTGATCGCTTGGCGTCAACATTAAGATGTTCTTCAGCAAGAGTGGGTACTTTACTAGTCGACTTCTGGGAACGTCTAGAAAATTCCAAAGATCTAGCTTGCGGCTGAATGGCGATTCTTGACACCTTTGCAGAAAGTCACTAACTTGCTTTGTCTGCTTCTTCTCATCAAGGAGAGTCTTTGCAGCGAGTTGGTTGGAACAATATGTTATATATGTATCTAGAACGGTGGGCAACTGTAGAAAAAAAAAACAAAAAAAAATGTTTATCATTCCAAAGTGTTTACTTGCCTCGAATAACAAGGTCAGTTGGGAGAAATTGCTGAAAACTTCCTTGTACCAAACCAAGAGGTCCAGTCATTTACCTTGAAATTCAATACACCTAAGCATTTCCCTCTTAAAACATTCATGTTAATTTTCTCAGTCAACCTTCCAATCTTTCCCTGTACTGTATGTTTTCAGGTTAAATACTTGCAATTATAGCTATACATTGTGCCTAGAACTTAATTATTACGAGCAAAACAGGACATACCCATTCTAGGAAAACTTTTCCGACAACATCTGTGGTACCATCTTGATTTCTTTGCAACCTTAATCCATTAATTAATTCTGAAAAATACAAAAAAATGTGTTTTATGAGATAATGTCATAAATTTTCAATTGCAAGAACATTCATCATAATGATCGCATGCCTTCTCCTTGTGACAGATTGGTTTAGTTCTCTTTAAGCTGTCCAAAATTTTGTCAATTGGGTCCCAACTTCCCATAGCCTATTAAATTGTTTTCAACATCTAACAGAAAGAGAAAATTAGATTTACACAAGAACTAGAAAACACATAACAGGGGTACAATATGTGTTCTTACACCATTTGGAATAACAAGTAAGAACATGTGCCTCTGCTAGACTATCTGTAACAAATATTTACCTATAGGAGGAGATTCTATTGTATAATTCATTTAAGTATTGTACTACATGTCTCTTCTGATGTGAAATTGATGCGTATTTGAGTTTCACTTCTCAGGCTCGCATTACGTAGTTCAGGTATTCAGTCCAAATTAATGCACTCCCCAGGAGGTAGATTTTTTCACTATTAACAAATAATACAGTTTGTTTTTTTCCAGGTAAGCTTCCCCCTAAGAAAAAATATTTACTGATTTTTTGATTTATTTTTCCTTACTATAAGCTAGCCTCCAGACAAAAAACCTGATTTTGAATTGTAATGAAAAAGCTATCAACAGGAAACATTTGTACAGGGATAATTAATTAAATTAAGCTTCAGTAGTTGGACCATAATACTTTCACTTTAAGCCACATAATCTTGGTTACCTAGCTGCTGCAAACACTTTGTTCACCAGTATCATATATACTTATCAACTGATAAACAATTTGTTTTAAAATGTTTCATGATCTTCTTAAAGCCAGTCTAAAATTGCTAACATGATTTTTTGTTGGCTAACATTAAGCAAATCATTTCTTTCATGCATTTCCCAATGTGATTGGTTGTTGTTATGGAGCTCATAATCTTAGTCGTACTGATATGCAATCGCTAATAATGAGAGACTGCACATGAGAGTGCAACGGCAGGTTACTATGGATTTGATTTGAGGAATGCTGTGCTTTTAATACCTATGAATAGTATTAGCTAATTTTGGTATGTATCTGATTTTCTATTGCGCTTAAGTCTTATCTTAAAACTTCTCACACAAATCTTCTGAAGAGCATCATAAAAATATCACTAAGGGTTTCAGATCAAAATGAAACTTTTCTAGGTCTTTAAAATCATTTTCGCTTGTGAGTTGAATATCATTTGAATTAATATTAATTAGATTTCAGCTGAAAATGCTTTTAGCTTGCTACTCTAGATGAACTTATCTATTGGAACTAATTCAAGAATTGCTCAAGACAAGATCTTACAACTTCGCAGACACACGGGGAAGAGTAAAAAATGGAATGCTTGTTTCACTTCATTCAAAAATGGCACAGCGCCAATGTGTGTTTACAACAATTTGAGTGACACCTTGTGAAAACAAATATTGAAAATCGTTATAAGAACTTACCTTCGTGTAATGGAGTCAACGTTTCTAACGTGCCAAATATTGTGTTCAATTCGTTCTCTGTAAGCATTTGCAATGATCGCATGGAATCGCGGTAGGTTTTCATGATCAGTTTTAGATCGTCTACCATGTCGTGCTCCCCTTGTAACAGCTCAAAAATTGCCTATTAAAATACAAAGAGTATTGTAGAATTATTATGCTGTGTAGCTAGCTAAAGGACAAACAAAAACCATTAAACATAACACCAAATGGTATTACATGAAGTGTTCAACTTGAAAACTTTGGCCTTTGCAAACAATTCTGAAATTATCTTAGACAGTACCCACAACCAGACATCACAGTTTGTGTCTAGCCCAAGAAATCTGTTCACCAGACATGATTAAACAATCTTTTTCAGACAGACATTTGCTAATAATTAACTACCATATCAAATTAAATTTTCAAATAGGAATACCAGTCAACATGTTGGTAACAAAAGAAACCCACATTTTAAATGTTAATAAGTTATATACAGTAGTAGTATATAAATATAAGTTGTTCTTAAACACATTAAAAAAAAAAAACTTCAGTTAATTAAACTTACCTCTTGCCGTTTTATCTGTATTTTCGTCATTACTTCGTTGATATTTCCCTGTACGGTTTCCGACCATAATCTGCTGTCCCGCCTCTTCGTTGGCGTAGCCTGGGGTTTGCTGTATGGTTTGATCGTCACACTCGGCGATGAGGTGCTGTTGCGAAAACTCATCGACCTCTGTAAAAGTAATTTTGAGATCTGAAGCACATGAAAATTCTCTCGTAATTCCACAATGGCAGGTTTCTTCACTTTGCTAGTCGCGACACTCGTGCTGGCCATGTTTTCTTTGGAGCCAGACCCAAGGTAATAATTTTCACAAGGCATGACTTTGTTATACAGTGAGACTAAAATCCCTGCTTAGCTATTGTTCCTCTCACTGCTGTATTCGTTAATGATCTGAGTGGCTGGCTGTTGAGTTCTGATTTTAATGATGCAGTCAGGAACAGCTGACCAATAAACAACAGCCAATAGGAAGCCTGCCCTTCGTATAGTAGGTTATAGATGATATGCTGCCTGTTCAGTGTCTGTCATGATAAGAATGCCTACACCCACCTAGCTAAAGGTTCTATTTGAACCACAGTATATGTCCCAAAATAGAAATATTTTTAGGCTCAAAATATTAATTTAGTTGCCTAGATCAGCATCATAATATCACTATTGTTATATTACTATTGTTGTTATATCATTGTTTAATTATGGTTAATACATTAGCTTGAAAAGCTAATGGAGCTGTTTCATATTTTATTAACGAACACGGACATGCTCAATAAGCACCATTCTTATGTAATTTCTTAGGTTCAGCCCACAAAGAAATCAGCAAATGCAATATTCTATGTTTTTTTGTTATGATAACTGTAGGTGTACATAAGTAATTGTTTGGTTAACTGAGTTCATGTGAATGGTTATGTAAGCTGTAAAGCTGAAGTCTCATCATGGATGTTTCGAGAAAAAAGGAGAGGGATCGGCTGATGTTGAACTGGGTATATAATTAATTCTTCCAATTTAGTTATTTTTTTTTGGCTTAGTTATTTCTTTAATTTTGATGGGTTTTATATGATTGTGTTTTTTAACTGTCCTTCATTGTAGAATTAAGTGAATATCATTATCCTGTGACTTTTCACACAATAATTTCCTTTGGATACACTTCCCACTAGGAATTGTTGCCACTCATTAAAGAAAAGCGTAAAATTCTTATTTAAAAATATATTAGTCGGCTGGTATCACCGGCTACCATCAGTCCTACTGAACTCAATGGTAATGTAAAAAAACTCTTTTCACAAAAACAACAGTAAATTTGTTGGTAATCAATTTAAATATTTTAAGTTTAAAAGTCTGTAAATTCTTGTAAATCCAAGAAATATAAATTGTTTAGACATGTGGCTGAAGTTCTTAATGTTGATTCTTTTAAATAAGCAATTGCATTTTTTAGGGTTTTCCTGATTCTACCAGAAATATTAACACCACCCACAGTTTCCCCAGATTTTTAATTAAAAATTTATTACTGTTTTTCATTATTTCTTCAAACACCCCTTCAATTTCTTAGAATATTTGTTTCTACAATATATCCAATATATCATCATTGTTTCTCAATGCAGCCTGGCTTTAAGTCTGCCAAAAATAATTTCTATCAGTGGTACAGTATGTCAATGTAATGAACGTTTCATTTTCTAGGAAACATACAAGTGCATTTTCATGTTGCAAATCATGAGGGAGACACTGAATATGACATATTAAAATAGAATCAATCAATTAGCCAATCTATCAAAAAGATAAAAATGTGTGGTACTACACTAGAAAAACTTTTAAAAACTCGTGCCTGTAGTGTAAAATAAATACTTCAATTACATATAAAGTTTTGAAATGACTGAGATATGTGAAACCATACCTCCATGGTGAAACATAATTTATTTTATTTTTTTCTTTTTACATAAACTAGACATTTATGACTTATTTACGTACTATATTTAAAAAATGTAAAATGGTAGGGGAAAAAAATGAAAACAATGAAAAATGTGGGTGTACTTCATATAAATAAATCTCTAATTTCAGCCTACATCCTACATAAGATAGATTAAATAATTGTATAACCATTATTGAAAATTGTAAATTATATAATAAGTAGCTATTTCTCCATAAGAAGACAGACATACGTTGGAATAATGGCTACTTGATATTTGGTAATAAAATGACACTTAACACAGCTTGCTATCTCCTCATCACATAACTACCTCAATATGAGGCATGATAAAAATAGATCCAAATATAAAGACGACTAGTTAATCTTAGACTAGACAATTATGCAAATTGTTCTCTTACTTAGAAATCCACAGGTATGAATCTATTTAAAATACGTCATTACTTTTAAACACTGTTGAAATTTGAGTTGAAAAAAAAAACCATAATTACTGTATATACAAAACACACTACTATGTGAGAGGTCATTTTTTTTTTCTCTTTAGAGAATCCCTAGCTTGACATCCTCTCCATGTTAAATTAATTACATGTTATTGAAATCAGCCAAAGACTGAACTTTCAGTTTTAGGCCGCAATCCTAGAATGTACAAACTGATAGTTCCAAGGCCGTGCAGACTGCTTAAGATGCATTAACAACATGAATAACATGCTCACCGCCTGGGAATTATGGGGCGCTATTAACTAGCAAACAAATCATCTAACCACCGACAGAGTGTCAAGAAATTGTTTCATTTATGATAAATGGGAGAAATAATATTTTCTGAAAACTTATACATTTGATAAAAAGGTGAATATGTTTATATCAATGTATCCCAGCATGCTGTAAACCGTTGTGAGAATGATTTAATGTTTATTGGGGCTATACAAAAATAAATTATTATTATTATTATTATTATTATTATTATTATTATTATTATCAATAACTTTTTTGTGCTTTTTTATTACTATATTTATTCAAAGTATTTTATATTAGGCAAGAAATATATTCTTTTAAGGAAGGCTTCTTTTGTGGCTGTCAGTTTTTACAAATCAAGGGTGAAACCAAATATGATCCAAACAAGTGAAAATACAAAAATATGAAAATAATACTGCTAATAATAATACTGATATTACTGCTTTAGTAATTTGATATGCCAGTGATAAGGACTGTGTTGTTGAAAAAAAAAAATTAAAAACTGTAGCAAAAAAAAAAAAAAAGAAAAAAAAAACTCCAAAACACAGACACAAGAACACTTCATTTTCTACAAGGTCTTTCTTTAAACCATATTTTAATAGCCATGTTTATTTGTTGCCCACCACACCGAATTCTTGGATTCGCTAACAAGATTATAATTAAATAAATTACTATATTTCAATAATAAAAGTGTTTAAACATTGGAATCAAAAGAAAGACTGTAATGAAAGTACGCAACTGCTTATAGCCTCGAAAGATTTGGCACTAAATATTCTCACTTTAGACAATCATTACGACAGGTAAGTTAGCTTAAAAGCTTTACTTGAATGTAATCCTTATGTTGCTCCGACAAGCTAAACTAGGATGATGTAATATTTATTACTTTCAATGGGAAAATTACAAAAAAGGAACACAGTTAAAGGAAACGATAAGTGGATGCAATTGTAATGTGTTAATGTATGTATGTGTAAATTTAAATTACCGGTATGTATTATTAAGTATCACATAAATATAAATCTTTTTTTTTTTTTTTTTTATCATAGAAATATATATTGTATAACTTTTACACCTTTCTTTGGGCCAGATCATGTGTTCCTGCCAGGGCAAAAAATGAATTTGAGTCCACACATCATGAATTGGCACTTGACATTTGGCCTCATTCTGACCGCGATTTGACATTTAATCTCAAACGTCCAGTCTTTTTTTACTCTTATATTTCGGCCTAAATGGTTAACATGGAACAATGAACGATTGGGGGAAAGAGGTTATGCTGTCTGACAGGCAAGTCAGACAATTTCCGACTGAAAGCAGTGGTGTGGGGTTCAGAAGGATATCTTGGTGCTTAGAAAATTCCCCTTTTTTGGTCCAATTTATGGCCGAGGGGAGACAGGGACTTGGTGTGTCCAACATGGATTAAACCCTTGCCCAAGCTGGCACAGTCCCTGAATGCCAGCCCATTAGACTGTAAATGAGGGCATACTGAATGCTACCCATATGTATGACTCTGCTCAACACAGCTGACACAGTTCCTTAGCCTTAATTCAAGTGAGTTACTTCACCTTTAAAAGTCTTATGCAGAAGTAATTAACACAGCTTAAGACAATCTTTTAAATAATTACAGACTTCTCTATCATCAAAATGTAATCAATGAAATCAAATCTTACCTGACTATCTAGCAAGAAAAATTCCATCATATTTAATAGGCTATTATCCTGAACTACGACAGTAGGTCTATATTATTGCACAGCAAATGTCAAACTAAATTAAAAATCCTTTTAAGTGTCAACTATAAGATGCTAATTGGTGCACAAATGTAGCCAATAGGAAGAATCACAAAGCCTCATTTCACACCCTCAATGTCTTAAAACCGTGCATTCTTCGCATGACAGCGCTTTGAAAACATAGACTCAGTGAATCAAGTTATTTTGACTCTATTGATGTAGAAGATTAACTTTGGCTACTGGTGTAGAATTTTACATATGGGAAGCAGTTCACAAGTTTTCAATACAATTATTTTAAGATTACCATGAATTAGGACCTTTTTCTTAGGAAAGATAATATTTCAATGGAGTAATTATTAGCTGTTATTTGAAGTTTAATTTCAGAAGGTCATCATAACTGTGCTGATAGTACAATAGGAAAAATCTCATATTTTCAATTTGCAGACAATCAACTAGAAATCAGCTCTGCTCTAGAAATACATGCACAATACAAACAATATAAAACTATATTGTGCCCATCGCTGCTTTGAAATCTTCAAAAATAAGATTCTATATTTCTTCCTAATTATATAAATTTAAAGCATTTAACCATCCCATTACTACACTGTTTACATTCACCAATAACATTTTACTTTTTCCTGTCTGGATTTTCTTGGCTACACCATTTGCTAAATAACAAAGCAAAAAAATTTTTTTTTTCTGCCCTCTTCTGACGATCTTTAAAAAAAATATTTTCGCAAAAAGAGATATAAAAAAAGTCTCACCTAAACATATATAGCTTTTCTTCATTAACTTCATATATTGGAGATGTATAATTTATGAGAAAATGCATAAATTTATAATCCAATATTTATTTTAATATCGTAACATTAGTCTCTCTCGACTGTTACCATAAAGTTGGTTAAGAAATAGAACCTGTATAGTTCATTGTCGTTCAATCTTAACAGAATTATATTACTGTCAATGAGAAGAATTTTTTAATGAGGAACCGATGAAGAGCTTTTCCCTACAATGAAAGAGTGATTCACTTGACTGCAAGTATGTATTCTATTCAGCAGATTACTAATACACACTGAAAGATTTGAGTTTAAAATACAAACATAAATCTAAAAAACATTAAGTAAAGCCATGTTAGTCTGGTAAAATTATAAAATAAAACACTTGTAGCACATTGTAGACCAACTTATAATCTTCTAATACACATGCTTTCCCCATGGACCTATTAATAATAATTGTTAATAGGTCCATGCTTTCACCAAAGGCTATGCTGGCTTCATTATGTGCTGTAATGAACCCCTATCATAACCTGCATTAGAAAATAAATATAGTTTTGTAGCTATTTTTTTCTCCCAAATATTCAGCATATTTAAAAATACTTTATTCATATGCCTGTACTCAAAAATTTAATCTTGTTTTATTTTCTACTCCTTTTTTGTAAGAAAAGGCAAATACAATTTTCTTTTTACAGTTTTATTATTTTGCAGTTTAATTTCAGGATATCCCCATTATTTCATTAAAAAGCACATTTCTACAGCAAAATTGAAATAATTATAAGGACAAGAAAAATGAATAAATTTTCACTTCTTATCTGCCTTCTTTAAAAAAAATGTATTTATTTTACTGAGGTAAACACTTATATTAGCAACACTGTTTGAATATAAATATAAATTTCTTATTATATTGTCCTTAAGTTTATTCCACTTGGTAGGATAGGGCAGCATAATGGAATACATACAGTAGCTCTTTTCTTATTTACTCAGTAGGCCTATATGTAAAATTAGTACAGTATAATTACAATCATACTAAATATAGAACAGTCCTATATATAGTATTACCTTGATATTCACTGTTAAGGCATTAAAACGAAAGTGGCATGAGGGCAGTAAAGGTCCCTGACCTCCAACATGACGGGAGATTGTTTTGGGTTTCAAATGGAGTGCCACAAAATAACACAGCCTGTTTCCGATCACGTTCAGAATGAGCTGCTAGATGGTACAATTTGTTCATATTATATTGTTCAGAATATGAATTTTATGCATTGACCTTCAATGGAAATTATATATTTTATATATTTTTTAACAATAAAGATATTATTTGGTGATAGTATAAGAAGGTAAACACATAAGCAATGAATTATATCATCACTTTAAAATTGTGTTTGCACAATATGCAAATGGTTTAGAATAATATTGTATTTTGTTGCTATTGATTTACTGTACTGCAATTACATACTATATGTGCTGAGTAAATTAATAAATGAGTGTAGGCAGAGTATAGTTGGCTAAACTGCCAATTAAATGTTTATAGTTGATAAAAAAAAATTGATTAAAAAACATTTGAAATTTTGAATGATACCATCTGTGTTGAGACTCAAATTGAGCCATTTAAGTTTTCCCTGATTTACTTTGCTACATAATCTCTTTACTTCTAGCCAATAAATCCCACACAGAACCAAGAGTTCTGCTTAAATGGAATTTTAAAAATATGTAAAGTGGTGTAACATAGTCTTTGTTTACATTTTATTGGTAGTAAAGTTACAGTAAGTATTTCCAGTAAGTAGGCCCTATAGTATTCCTACACTTTCTGTTTTATTTCTGCAAGTTTTCTTGGAATGTGTAGTCAAATTTTACCATAATTTACTAATTCAAATTTTCCCATAATTTTACTAATTCAAATTTAAGGATGCAGAATTTCACTTAAAAACTAAAGAATTTTGGTTTATCGATTGTAAAATGCTCCCTAAAAATGTTGGGAAAAGAAGTATAAACAAATTTATTCCAGATGTGACCTTTCTTTCTATAGTACAAATAGCCATTTATATTTCAAACTGATCCCCACATTACTCAAGCTGGTTAGGTGAGACTTTTTTTATTCCTTGTTTCGCATACTTTTTTTTAAGATCAACAGAGGAGGGCAAAATAAAAATAAAATTTTTGCAAATAGTTTTGAGAGAGGAGAAAATAAAAATAACATTTTATTGGTGAATGTAAAATGGGATGGTTAGATGCTTCAAAATTACATAATTAGGAAGAGATATACATATCTTATCTTTGGAGATTTCAAGGCAGCAGAGGGCGTAATTAAAAATAAAAATTTAATTTTTTTCTGAAATTTCTTTTTTTGTGGCGACGGGTGCGCTAATTGGCCAAAAATAAAATTTTATTTCGAAATTATCAATATTTGCGTTCGGTGGGTTCGCTAAACAAAGTATAAAAAATGACTCGCCTTATGGGCTTATGCAAAAAAACTGCTAATTGGCAATAAATTGTTAGTTCAAGTAATTTTTGATTCAAAGCTTTTATACATAAAAGGCAATTAAAATGTAATTATTCAAGTATGTTACCTCAATTTTGTTATGTATATGTTTATGTACTGTACAGCATTACACAGCAAAAAATATCTGGTGTGTACAGTATAAAACAAAGTAAGAAAGTCATTAATTTTTATCTTCCTGCTCGTGTTAGTGTGGAAAGAAAAGATTCTCCTGAATAGCATAGGTTGTGTTAATGTAGTTTTCACATCGCGTGTATGCGGTTGCTGCTAAACGTCCTTGGGCAGTCTTTACGTTCCCTTGTGCCATAGTTTCTTAGCCACACGTTAAGAGGCTATCAACAAAAATTTGTTGTGGCAAGAACAATGAGGGTTGCGCCATATGGATTTGATTACATGGAAGAGGTACACAGTTCTGTTGCCACTTTAGGATATTAAAGGTGGATGTAGTGACTTGTGAAAAATATAAACTATTACAAAAATAATATTATGGTTGGGCTTATCCTTTAAGGATATGACATCTCTAAATTAAGATTTTGAGGTTTAAATCCAAAATTAATAAACATGCAAAACACTTCATAATTAAATTGTGGCAAGAGGTATAAATAAAGCTGCAAAACAAAATGTTTTGCTACTAATTCCATTGATTTTCTGTTTTCAATGAAGGTATATCAATATTTTTAACATCTTCATTTTCTCAGTATAAATTAATTTTAAAAGAATTTTTATCCAATAAGAAACCATAAAAATAGACTTTTAATTGGGAATGTAGAATGTAAACACAAAACAAATTCAATCAGCCGTGACACACACACGTTTTTACATTCTATTATAGGTCAATTTTAATTTTCGCATAAACAAAAAAATCGGCACAATCATTATGTTGAGTAAGGGCTGTGAAAAATCCAACACATTCCTACACTATCGTCTTAGTCTTATGATGCAAAAACTGTCTGTATACTGTAATGTTGTTTATGTGAAATTGTGTCAGAAAATATCTGGAAGCATAAAGGGATTGAACCCAGGCAACTGAGATTGGAAAATGACCACCCTCACATCCATACCACAGCTCCTTTCAATAATAACAATTACACAGCTCATTAACAAATAACAATTGAATAGGTAAGTGAAGGTGGGAACGTAAAACTTGAAAGAACACCTGACTCAATATAGCAAGATGACTCACATTGCAAACAATGATTGAATATAAAGGCTTCAATTCTTAACCCAAGCCAAGAAAAAATACTTGTTTTGAAGTTGTACAGTACATTGCACCCTACGGTCTTTCAAGAGGATTGACTTCATCGCAGGTTAATATAACAGCACAGTTTGAATGAGAAGTTTAAAGATTTAGGAGGCGATTGTTGGCGTTACATAAAAGAAACAACCAATGGTGAAATCAAGGGTAAAATCAAGGTTAGTTTAAATGCGAACTGTAAACAAAGCCATCGGAGAGGAGAGGGTCAAGAAGCAACCTCTTAAACTTGCAAGCATTTTAGAACACAATAAATTGTCTCTTGACCGTGGTTTTAAATTTGTTCTTTTGGTGTAACTGTAATACAGCTGCGTATATTCTTCTGTGCCCTATTCCAACTTAAAAAATAGTTTTAGCAATGTTCAACTCAGAGCAGCGCAGGTTTTACTGCTAATGAGTAAATTACCATAATTCCTCGGGTATCTGCCCACCTGGGATATCTGCCCACCTAGGTTACAACCGGCCACTCCCCGCCCCCCTCCATTTTTTGTACTAGTCTTTTCTCAGGCAAAAGCCCAGGGTATGACTTTTACAAAATTTCTCATAAAAAATATCAATATTGCCTTTGAATTAGGCATACAGTGTTGAAAAATAGCAATTTTATAAAAAAGAGTATTTTTCAGGTATAAATAAGCCCACCACAAAAAATTGGCCCAATTTTGTTTTCTAGGGGTTGGACTTATACCAGAGGGACTATGGTACATACTGCAGTTAAACAAAATCACATATCAATATTAGATACAGGAGTGATGTTTTGCATTACCTGACATATTTTCGTACCGAATCCTCAGTACGTTATCAAATACTCGAGGAAAAAAAAAGTCGCAAGTGATTCAGGTTGGCACTGAGTATTTGGTAAGAGGGCAAAACATTACTCCTATGATATTTTCATGATGCAAAACTCACATCAAAATCAGTTAAATACTCATGAACAGAAAAAAAAACATTTTTCAGTATTATTATTAGATTTAATGGTAAATAAGTTTACCTCTTTATAAAAGTAATGCCAACAAAAAATAGCAGTATTAACAACAACTGGATGAATAATAATGATATAAAATGGAGGCTAGTACATGCAAACCTTAACAAAGCATTTATAATTTATATATAAAATAGTTAAAAAATGCCAATACAAATAAAAACAATATAAAATATATTTAAATTATAACTAAGAATAATATCTGCCCAAATTTTACTTACCTGAAGAGCATGCCCAACTTTTTTGACAGAAGACACTGGAGACAAAAGGCTCACTAGCGATGTTCCTTTAACCAACGAACGTCCACGTCGACTACTTGTTCCCTACAAAATATAGAAAATAGAAATTGGTGAGATGGGTCATTCTTTACAAGCTGCTTCTGTTAACAAATGGAAAACTTTTCACATGATAATACGTTTTGTCATCTGGTAATTAAGAAAATGAAATTTTACTTTTTCTGAAGATCTTCAAAACCAGGTTTTAACAAGAGCGACCTCTCACTGGTCTGCGCATTCCTCCATGCTTAAATACGGTACAGGCACAAGTTATTATATTGGTTTTTTGCACTAATAAAACAGATATTTTTAAAAAATAAGGATGTTTATTTGTACAAAAAAAAATTATTATTTAGAAGTAAATTGAAAAAAATAAAATTTTGTAAAATTAGAAAAAAAAAGAATACCAAGACACAATTCAAACTCACAACTTTAAGTTCTTTAGAACACATCTTTAACCGACTGCGCCATCTAAGCGATTCTCCCTATAAGAATGGCAGTAATGTACAGTCCTTGCTGAAACCCCTGTTTTGTTTTGTAGGTGTAGGGAAAATCCCGGGGTCCAACTTAAAAAAAGGGCGATGAATGTTGTTGGAAATAACCTCTTGTTTATGTGTACAAAATTTCCTGCATGTCCGTTCAAACTTTTGGTAACAAAAACAAGAACAAAAACAGCAGCGAGGCTCTGGGGTCTGCGCCTTGTGTGGACCCAAAAAGTCTTGTCTCGCAAGACTTCTTCTGCTCTTGACTCCTTCAATTTTATCCAGTAATCAAGACAATCACTTCCAGATACGACTAGAAAGCAGCCACTATGCTGACGTATTAGGCCAATTTGCACTTAATGAAATATACATACTGTATTCCACGAAATCAGCCAAACTTAACGTAATTGGTAAAATTCTGTGAATCTCACCTCGGTAAAGTATAAACAAAGCTGGGAACTACTTTGGGATAGATCTATCATAATCTAGCATTTTGAATGTAGGCCCACAAATATTTGGGCCCTTTTAAGGTAAAGGAGATAGTAACTATGGTATTGTAAACATGCAAGGGACAACAAAGGGACATGGGCATTAAGATAGTTAGTCAGCAGACACGGAGATAAGGGAAAAACAGATTAATGAAAACAAAACTTACACAAAAAAAAAGAAGCTACAATTAAAAGTTAGATGAAGAAGCTGAGGCAAATCAAAATTTGTATGTGACATACTCTGTATAATGCTGTATATAATGTACTATTTCTCAATCAGTTAGCGCAACTGCTTAGATAAGTTCTATCGTGTCCGACCGATTTCAGAATGAAATTTTAAATTAATGTTTGAGTTACGATAAAATAAATGAAAGGAATATAAGTCAAAAAAGAAAAAAAAAGTAATATAAGCATCTTGTTTGCAAAAGAATAATTTAATGTATTTATTTGTATTCATAATAAGAATTGTTCAAAGAGAAAAAGTATAAAATAATAAGTCTTGTTTACAAACAAAACAAAAAGACGTAGTGATACAATATAACACAAACAAAAATATGTATGACAAACAGCCTTGTCCAACTGATTTGTTTAGATTTTAACAAAAGAAGAAGAAATTACAAAAGTTAATTTACAAGATTACTTACTTTAAATATAAAAATAATATATAGTTATTTATTTAGCATTGTGGAAGAGTATAATAACAACAGTACATGTTTTAAACAAACATTCTTATACAATATTATACAATATTATACAATTAGTACATAGAATATTATATTAAGAATAACATGAACTGGTAAATAATATTTTATATTTTTTTTTAATTTTCTTTTTTTATTCAATTTTTAAAAATTTTTTGTTTAATTAAACAGTACCTGTGAATATAATCCAAGCAGATACTGGCCCTTGATGGCATTTGAAGCATGCAATAAAACTGAATTGAATTACGGTAAGTTTAATGAGGATAAAAAAGTTTCTCACACAAAAGTTTGAAGTTTTCAAAGAGCATGCCCCTTTTCCCCCAGTATTATTTATTTAATCTTTTTTTTTACTTATTTATTTAATCTTTTTTAATACTGTAGGCAAGTCTTTCAAATTATACTGATTATCAAAGTGGTACAGTGACGAAAAACATGTATTACAAATGCAAGAAAAAATGAATCAAAATAATAAATAAATAAAATATAAATAAAAAAAGTAAATAAATAAAAATAAAGAAAAGAGCCATTTTGCTTCATTTGTTTCATTGTTTTCACAGAGTTTCTTGATTTTTACTCAGCGATGTTGATTTTTGTTTAAAAGGTTTATTAACCTAACCAGGAAAGTACCCATGCGAAGTATGATTCATCCCTTTGGAATGAATGCCATGAAAGGGCTTTCCAAATAACAGCAATAATAGTAAGTAATAACTTAGTAATAAGTTACTAAGTGTAAGTGTAATAACAAAGTAATAACTTAAACAGAGCAGTCTCAGATAGTTCACAGTGTGTTTACAATTTTATAGATAGTTACTGTATCAGTCTGTTATCACTGATTTACTGTATTCTACCACTATAACACTGAATTTGTAATAACAATAATTTATAAAAATAATAATAATAATGATAACAATAACAGAAAATAATGATGATCAACAAACATTAATAATTATAATTAGATTAAATTCAATAAGTTTATGGATTTTATAAATGAATTGCAAGCAACACTTATAAGATAATTGATCTCTTTACTGAATTAATCTACAAACATTCCGGAGGGGAAAACCCACACTTATCATTCCTTGATAAAATTTCCCTCCTCTCTTCCGGATTATCATTATCATAATGAGAAGTTGCATCCTCATATTCTCACTTAAGGTGCTCAAGGATTGGTATGTTCCATGAACATCTACTACACATCTCTATAACTTTTATATAGGTCTATCCTTGTTTGTTAGTTGTATATTGAGATGACATCATATCTTTGAGCAGGGCAGTAAATCTTTCTCTGGTATTATACATAAAAACCATATTTTTAATATTATTTATCTTTCTATTGACTGAAAGTATAATGTTGCAGATTGCAGATTTTGCTAAATATATTTAGTAACAGTAGATGTATTATTTAAGTTAGTACTATAATACTTTCTATATTTGCTCAAGAAAGCAAGAAGTAAATTCCGTCATATAGCCTACGTATGTAAACAGTATAACAGATCCATTCAATTGGCCTACTAAACGTATATCCCCCAATAAAATCTGATAATGCAGGAATTCCTGACAGCTTGATATCCTTCTAGAGAAATTCCTTTGAAATAGTTTAAAACAATTCAGGGAAGAAAGGAATTTCAGTTATGAGCTTGTGAGAACCACATACTATATTTTTACTGTAGTATATTACTAGGATTAAGTGGGATTTTATCAACAGAAGACATAAAAGTCTGTAAGCTTGGACAGCGGAACACAATCAACAAAACAGCACTCGGCAAAATTACCTTTCACAGTTTTTAACAATGAGAAGCTTTCCCACCATTTGGCAACCAGTAAATTAAGACAGCAGCTTATCACTTGGCTAAACTGGTGGTAGCCGCTCTGTTTCTGATCTCTAGGTCTCCGGTCCAATTCCCATTGTTACTCTCCTTGTGTTTCAGCTGGAGGGCTGAAATGCAAGTTACGATAGCGAACCATTTAAGCCGTTGGACCTGTGTGCATTATGGCCTGTGTGCATGTTAAAAAACACAGTACACTATTTGGAAATGAGTAGGGGATTGTGTCCCAGTTTACTACCCAATCACCACCAGAAGGATCCCACTGGAAATATGTCTTCCTCAGATACCGAATAAATCCATTCATCCAATTAAGCTAATAGCTAATGCACCAAATCTTATCAATGATCAATAATCACAGCTGAATTCAGCTAAATATTTTCAGTACAAATTAGTATAAAAATAAATTTGATTTATTTTTTACAAATTTATTTTATTTAAGCCAACACCAAAAATACGAGCCAAGGATTCACTATTATCACTGTCTTACTTGTAGTTTATAATCCCTTTCACAGGATAAACATACACACAATGCTTTACACAAACCACAGATCCTATACCTGTACGTACACGCACGCGCACGCACACACATAAGGCTTAGGGAGTTGAGTTGTTTTGGCCGGGAGAAAAAATACTGCAGCACTGACAGGAATTGAACCAAGGAATCTGGGATTGGAAGGCAAACATCTTACAGTAACCACTAAACCATTCAACTCCACTCTCTACATTTATAATTTTCTTTGTTTCTGTGGGTTAAATCTCTTTTTGTTCATAAATCTGTCTGCTAAAGAAAACGACTGTAAAATACACAACTGAAGCATGAAAATTTAGTTGCTAAATGTCAGAATTATTTACCGCAAACTTTTAATGTTATATGTCTTTAATAATATATCAAAACATTTTTCAATAGACATCATTTATAGTCTTATAGTCTGTTATTTTTTTAAATAATGTACAAGAAAGCTGCAAAATTAAAAACTTTCTTTCAACATAAAGGGGTTCAAGCTAAATTGATTCATAGATAGGATTATGGGAATTTCATAAATGTATTAACTTATTTCATAAATGTTTAATTTTCAGCTTAATACATTTTGAAGACTGTGTTGTTACCTAATATTAGTATAGCAGACCTATCTATTTTATGATTTTTTTTGTTGCAAGAAATGGTATACTAAAGCTTGACTTAAAAATCAGAAATCTTATTTAACTCAAGTGTATGATGTAATTAATAGGGCAAACTGGTTCATTGACCAGTTTGTAGAAGCGCCTAGGTTCAATGCAAGGCAAATTGAAACAGAATCGTTAAGATATAATTGCAGCCTTTGGCTGCATATTAATGACATGCATTAGCAACTATTTAATTCACCATGTTTTTTATATACCGGTCTAATGATTTTCTCAAAGCTTCATAAGCAAAAACATCCAATATTTTGATTGTAAAGGATTTAATCTTGTATTCGTATTTAAAAAATTCATAAATTAATCAACCGGATTTGCAAGAAACCATAAGGTTCATCGTTCTGGCAAATGTTCGTTAGCTTATGTGTGATACAATATGTCATGTTCTAGGTGCACTAGAAGTGACCTCACTTTTCATGGTACTGTTTCATGGTACTGCTGTATAAAACCTGAATAAAAAAACAATAAAATATGTATTTTTTAGTATGAAATTGCTTACTGTAACAGCTTGTAATCTTCTATGCAAAAAAAAAAGAAGAAAAGTTAGTATTTATTATTGTGAAATTGGCATGGAAAATACTTAAATACTAATTTTTGAACAATACTATACTGTATCTAATCCCCATAAAAAACATTATTATCACTTCTATCCTTTTGGAAAAGTGAAGAAGTGGGCAGGTGGGTTGTTTTTATTTTAATTTTTACTCGAGTCAAAAGTACAGCATATTAAAGCTAAAAAAACAGACCCAGTCTCCATGGCAACATTATTCCAACTGGAGTAGGATATTCTTACCAATAAATTGTGCACAAACCGTAGTGAATGAAAACTCCTGTATTTATTACGGGCTCTTCAATCTACAAGTTCTTTGCTGTTTCTTGGAGCTCTTTATCATTTTCTTCCCTTTTAAAACCATTAAGCAGTTTCTTTTGTATTTGTTATAATGTATATACTGTAAAACCTCGAATAGAAGCCCAATGGGCTTAGTATCGAGAAGCCCCATCTCGAACTGAAGCTCACTGATTTCTAATCAAGATAATATGAGCTTCATTTGAGATAGTAAAGTACTGCACATGAATTTCAAAGAAACAAAGCAAACAATTAAAATGACACTCCACTCTATAGTATTTGGATGAATAAAAAGTACTACAGTATGCTATAATTATATTGCACTGATGTATTATGTAATAATAATGTTTACAGAGCCTTTTTAACCTTCCTGTTTTCACAAGTGTCATTTTCTGATTGTGAACTAATTAATCCATTGTTAATCAACAGTACTGGGAAAAGAATAAAAGCACTTGTTTAGTGTCATACTGTGGACATTACCTATACGACAGGTTTATTAACCCTTGCTTCCTGTATAAGAATGAATGAATCTCAATTCAAAGAATTATAGTGCTCCATTTCCTAAACCACAATGTCTGATTACTTGTGGTGTCTAGAATCAATGGGTTTCTGACCTTAAATGGCAGTAACACAGACAAGGGGGTTGAGGCAAACCATGGGTATTATAATATTGTACAAATTAGTATAAAGACCACCGATTTAAACCAGCAATATACATTTTCTCATTAGGTCAGGCTTTTTTAAACCTTTTTTCATGAATTTTTTTTTTTTTTTAAAGATTGTCATTAGGTCAGGCTTTTTTAAACCTTGTTTCATGAACTTATTTTTTTTTTAAAGATTGTCAGAGGAGGGCAGAAAAAAAATTAAAATAAAATTTTGTCTTCCCATACCAAAATGCTTTTGCCAAAACCACCTAGATGGAGAAAATAAAAATAAAATTACGTTATAGTAATGAGATTGATAAATGCTATAAATTTATGTAACTGAGGAAGAAATTTATATTTAATTTTTTGGGAGATTTCAGGCAAGTGGAGGTATAATAAAAATATATATAAAATTTTATTTTTTTTATGAAATTTCCATTTTTTTCGTGGTGGAAGGTGAGCTAACTGGCCAAAATATCTCATATTTATGCAAAATCATCATTTTTGGCAGTCGGAGGGCTCGCTAAACAAGGTATAAAAAAGTCTCGCCTTAGTTGCTTCGTAGCAAGTTGAAGTTCTAACGTTAGGAGCATTTCTATTTTCCAACAACCTATTGTTCAATACGGGCATTAATAAAAGTTTCAATTCATTTTTAATTAAAATAAACATACTCAAAGAATTTCATCTGGTTCCATAAATGTATAAAAAAAAATTATCTGTTTTGTTGAACCAATTAGCGAAGAATGACTCAATTCATACAAGGGTTCATTAGTCCAAATTAAAAAAAATACATGTTTCTCGTCCCCGCCTGCTTTCGTTTTTTGTGGCCGCCTCCTATTTTTTGTTATTTATTATTTTTTAATTTCAGAAAAAGAGATAAAAAATTAATCCCCAATACCCCCGTAAATACCGTATTTTCAGTAAATACATTGTGCACTAAAGTCTTTAGGGCCTATACATATTGTTCTCCAACATTCACATATGATAATTGCGAATTTTAATGCCTGAAAAACGATGACTAGTTGACGGCCTAGGCCCACATTCGTTATGATGCACGACCACCCGCATGATCTTCCAATCTCACAGGCTGGTGACGAAAATGATCGTACGACATCGCCGAAGCGAGCGAGGTTGTAGGCATAGCTCAATTATTATTATTGTGTTGCAAGTTTGTCGATACACTAGTAAATGTTTAATGGTCTATATATATTATACATTACACCTAAATAGGTCATCCAAGCGTACTGTATACATATATTGTTGGTGGAACATGGCAATCTGATCTTGGGGGAAAAACAACAAAAAAACATAATAAAAAAATAAAAGGAAATAATAAATATTAAGTGCCTCCTCCTTCCTTTTTTCAGAAAATCTGGACGAGAAACATGTATTTTTTATTATTTGGCCTTAGCTTGAAAAAAGTGACAGAAGCAGTTGCAGAAACCTTTGCTGACAAAACAACTATTTTTTTTTTTTTTAAGAATCTAGATTTATACAGCTTCTATACACAAACTAAAGAAAATACAAAAGCGCTGGCATCCATATTTACCTGGTCACTGGATACACAAATGGCAAACCAGCACATTTTTGTGCAACTTTCTCTGCTTCCTGGTGAGTATCCCAAGTTAGGCTTTACAAGCACAACCTAATACACTACTTCAATGCCACACCATCCTACCAGGTACCAATTTATACCCCTGGGTGGAGAGAGGCAAATGCGATATTGTAAAGTGCCTGCCCAAGGACACAAGCAATGCGACGGGCATCGGTCTTGAACTCCCGATTAGAAGTCCAACACCTTACACGCTGCCACACACGCTCTTAGTTCAACAAGACAGATAATTTTCCTACTAAAATAAATATACTTAAAAATATATTAATAAAGATTAAACTCCGGGACATACCTTTAAACATTCAACAACAAAAATAAAAAAACATTGAATTAATCTATCAGTCCTATAGACTAGTCTGGATGCAATACGGCAATCTTGTGAATTAAAATGTGCTTACACACAAAGAACATAACGACAGGTCGTGGGAGTAAGAGCCGTTTAAGCTGTTGACTATTTTAAATGATTGACTATGTTGAAGATTGTTGTCGCTAATGAAGAGTCTCTTAAATGTCAATACTGCACAGTAGTCACAAACAACTTCGGAAAATAACCAACCGACTTCACCTTGGCATTATAGTGAGCTTGCCCAAAGGTAACAAAATCATTACTTTAAATTAAAAATACAATAATTACATGAAGTTATATCGTATAGTTTGCAATGAAAAAAACGTATCATTCAGTGGTGTATGTATGCAATAGTTTAGAGTAGCACAATTTTAGGGCCTATATCTGAGATTGAGCTTTTGCCTGAAGGGAAAAATAAAGAACAGATCTGAATTAGGAGGACTTGGGATTCGATTCACTTATACCGAATAGGCCCAACTGTTTTCTAAAAAATAAGCCACTAGACACCCTTCCGAGGGATCTTAGAATGTAATCCTACACTTTATAAGAACCAGTAAAATCTTGCCATTTTTATTTTGCCAATAAATCTGTTTTACATAGTCAGAACTACTGCAAATATGATACAGTTTAGTTTTGTTGGTTTTTTTTTTTATTAAAAAAAAAATAAAAACCTCAATTTATAGCCTAAATTTGTTGTTATTTTGTTCTTAGATTTTACAGTAAGCACTTTCGGCCAGTGTTCTTGTTGTAAAATCTGTTCTCTAAAAAACAAAATTGTATATTTTTTGCCTGGTTGACCAAAGAGTAGTACATCTGTCAGTGGTAGAATATTAAATATTGTCAATTATTAGTGTTAAAAAAATATTATTAAGAATTTATACCATGTGTTTTTGCTAATTATCAATGCTAAGCATTGGATACTTGGAAAAATAGCACAAACTGCAACCTTCTTCACTACCCTGGGATTATGCCTGTCTTACTGCAAAGGATTAAGAAAAGATTACTATAATCAATGTCACAACATCCGCTAATACCTTTAACGAATGTCAAAGATCAAGATTGACATGTTTCGTAACATAAATATAATGTAATTTAATAAATATTTATTCCATATCCAAAATTAAGGACTTTTATCAGTTTGTTTATTTACATTTCACTAGATGGCGGAATTTATAAGGTGTATGCCTATATGAATAACCTTGGAAGAGCATGTTTAATGGAATTTGAGACTCCAGGGTAGATGACATTGAGCATATTTGTGACCAGTCCCATTGTACTCTATGATGTTTACCTTGCCTGCAAGTTTGAAAACTTTCTCAACCACATGGTATATGAACTTATGGAAACCTGAAGTGAAGTGCACTATAGTATTATCAGCAGGCCAAGGATGATTGCAGTAATTTCAAGGCCATCGCTGTAATAATTAGGAAGGTATTCCAACAAGCAGGCTTTGAACTTGATGGGGCTGATATCTTTGATAAAGACATACCTGTCTGGAGGGCATTGTCTCCCAAGGAGATCAACAAATTTCACCCATCAAGATGCTATCTCCAAGGGTGTCTCCATTAATGGTCAGCTTTGACAGATCATAAATCGTTAGATTAATAGGTTGTACAAAATTGGCATATATCATTATCATCGTCCTTTTTGACAACATATAAATCATAACAGGGATATCTATCCTGTGAAGTTAATCATTTAGAATTTTGATACTCTGTTATAAAATCTATTCGACTTGGAAGTTATTTTGTTTGTGTGCGAGTCCTAACATTGATGCTGAGATTGACATCAAGGCCTTAGGGTTGAAAAAAGACAGCAATCTTATTGAGCCTAGCACACATTATTAATTTTTGATTTTCGATAGGAAAAAATATTAATGTTGGCTACAGATCTATAAAAGTTATTCATCAGGGTAGAACCTCGAACACATAAAGTAGGGAAACAGGAGGTAGAGTAATTCAGCAGTAAATTTACCCATAAGCCTCATTTGCAGTGGATTTTTTTTGGTAAGACTTACTGATCTGCTGGAAAGTTTTCCCAAAAAAATAAACACTGTTGAATAGTCAACATGCCTTGTCATAATTTTTTGTTTCAACAACTGATATATATATATATATATAAATACAAACATATAT